TCAAGTGTGACCCTTTGACTGAAGGCAAACTTCACAGATAAATCCTTTTATTAAGGAGATTTGCTGTGTGGTGTTTGTATTCAGTGGAAAGGCTACACTTGAGGACCTAGAGGGATACATGTGGCTTTGAGGCCACAGGTTCATTACCCCTGCCTTAGATCATACCAAATTGGAAGAACTAAAAACTTACAAGTCCCTCGAAGTATCTCTGAAAATAACTGAACAAAACCCCTGAAGCTTGGGACATTGAGCCCTCCACCCTGGAAGCAGAGTCCTACTTTAACAAAGAGTTAAAGTTAAGTAATAGGCTGGGGAAGTGAGCAAACAACAGAAAAAAAACTCTATTGAAAATTACTATGGTGACAAGGAAGTTCAGAACACACACTCAGAAAAAGACAACAAAGTCAAAGCTGCTACATCCAAAGCCTCCAAGAAAAAATATGAATTGGTCTCAGGCCATGGAAGAGCTCAAAAAGGATTTTGAAAATCAAATAAGAGAGCAGAGGAAAAATTAGAAAGAGAAATTAAATTGTTGAAAAAAAATCATGAAAAAAAAGAGTTAACAGCTTGGTAAAGGAGACACAAAAAGAAAATACTGAAGAAAATAACACCTTAAAAACAGGTTAGGCCAAATGGTAAAAAGAGGTCCAAAAAGCTAACGAGGAGAAGAATGCCTTAATAAGCAGAATTGGCCTCTGGAAAAAGAGGGACAAAAATTCGGTGAAGAAAATAACTCCTTAAAAAAATAAAATTGGCCAAATGGAAAAGGAAGCACGAAAGTTCATTTAAAATTAGAATTGAGCAAAAGGAAGCTAATGACTTTATGAGAAGTCAAGAAAAAATAAAACAACAATGATAAAAAAAAAAGAATGAAAAAAAATAGAGGACAATGTGAAATATTTCATTGGAAAAACAACTGACCTGGAAAATAGATCTAGGAGACATAATTTAAATATATATATATATATATATTATATATATATATATAGTATTAACCAAAAGCCATGAACAACAAAAAAAAGAGCCTGGTCATCATTTGTCAAGAAATTATCAAGGATAACTGCCCTGATGTTCTAGAACCAGAAGGTAAAAATAGAAATTGCAAGCCTCCACTGATCACCTCCTGAAAGAGATCCCAAAATGAAAACTCCCAGGAGTATTATAGACAAATTTCAGAGCTCCAAGTCAAGGAGAAAATATTCCAAGTAGCCAGAAAGAAAAATAAAATCAAGTATCATGGAACCACAGTCAAGATAACACAAGATTTAGCAGCTTCTGTATTAAAGGATCAGAAAGCTTGGAATATGACATTCTGGAGATCAAAAAAGCTAGGATTAAAACCAAGAATCCCCCAACAAATCACCAGCAAAACAGACTATAAATCTTCAGGGGGGAAATGAATTTTAAATGAGATGGAGGATTATTAATCATTCTTGAAGAAACGAACAGAGCTGGATAGAAAATTTGACTTTCAAATACAAGACTCAAGAGAAGCATAAAACAGAATATAGGAAAAAGAAATCGTAAAGAACTTAATAAGATTAAACTGTTTACATTCCCACATGGGAAGATGATATTTGTAACTCATAAGAACTTTGTCATTTTTAGGGCAGTTAGGAGTATATATATATACAAAGGGTACACGTAAGAGTTGAATATGAAGAAATCATATCAAAAAAATAAAATTAGGAGGTGAAAGAAGAATGCACTGGGGAAAAAGGAAATGAGAGAGGTAGAATGAGGTAAATTATCTAACCTAAAAGAGGCAAGAAAAAGCTTTTACAATAGAGTAGGGAGGGGGAGGTAAGGGGGAGTAAGTGAACCTCACTCTCATCAGAATTGGTTCAAAGAAGGAATAACATACACACTCAATTGGGTATAGAAATCTATCTTACCCTACAAGAAAGTAACAGGGGAAGGGTATAAGATAATGGTGAGGAAGTGATAGAAGGGAGGGTGGATAGGAGGTGGGGACAGTCAGAAACACTACATTTTTGAGGAGGGATAGGGTGAAAGGAAAGAGAAAATAGAATAAATGGGGTGAAGGATATGGTGGAGAAAAATATAGTTAGCAATAGTAGATATAAAACCAAAAATTGAAGCAAGTTTCTCTAATAAAAGCCTCATTTCTCAAACATATAGAGAACTGAGTCAAATTTATTAAAAAAAAGAGCCATTCCTCAACTGACAAATGATCAGAAGATATGTTTTCAGATGAAGTAATCAAAACTATCTACAGCCACATGAAAATTTTAAAAGCTCACTATTAATTGAAGTGCAAATTAAAACAATTCTGAGGTACTGCCTCATACCTAACAGATTGGGACACACACAAAAAAAAATGACCAATGTTGGAAGGGATGTGGGAAAAATGAGATATTAATGTACTGTTGGTAGAGTTAAATGATTCAACCATTCTGTAGAACAATTTGGAACTATCCTTAATGGGCTGTAAAACCATGGATACTCTTTGACCTAGCAATACCACTACCACATCTGTATCCCAAAAGACATAAAAAAAAACAAAAAGGAAAAAGTACTATATGCACAAAAATATTTATAGCAGCTCTTTCCTGGGGGGAAAGAATTGGAAATTGGAGGGATGCCGATCAATTGGGAAAAAATTGTGGTATGTGATTATGATGGAATACTATTGTGCAATAAGAAATGATGAGTAGTATTCTCTCAGAAAAACCTAGAAAGACTTACTTGAGCTGATGCAAAGTGAGATTCACTGTGTACAGAGTAGCAGCAATATTTGTGATCAGCTGTAAATGACTCAGCTATTTTCAGCAATGCAATAACCCAAGACAACTCTGAAGGACTCAAGACGAAAAATACTATCCATCCCCAGAGAAAGAAGTGATGCTGTATGAATACAAATTGAAATACACTTTTTAAAAAAATTCATTATTTTTCTTGAGGTTTTTTAGTCTATGCTTTCTTTGAAAACATGATTATTATGGAAATGTTTTGCATGACCACACATGTATAACCTATATGGAAGTGTTTGCCTTCTCAATGAGGGTATTGGGATGTGGGATGGAAGGAAGGGAGGGAATTTGGAATTCAAAATTAAAAACATCTTAAACATTGTTTTTGCATGTAACTAAGGAAAAATAATATACTAAATAAATAATTATTAAAAAAAGAATTAAGCAAGGCACCCCGAGAGAGAGACTAGAAGCAGTGTATACCATAGAACCACCACAACCACCAAACCATCACCTCAGATACTGATATAGATAGACCAGTAACCTGAACTTAATAAATTTTGGAATAAAACTACTGCTAGCTCATTATCTATAGTCATCTGGGATGCAACCCCTGTTGAGTTATAATGCTTCCTTCAGGGGCTACATCAACATCTAATGAAGACCCAGAAAAGAAGGTTTTTTCCACCATCTTTGGCATTGTCAAATGGTTCAATACTAGACAGTGATTTGATTTTATCAGTGAAAGAAAAGGTATTACCATTTGCTTTGCAATTTTACTCCAAGAAAAATCAGACCTTTCCATCTCATTTGCATTTGAAACCTTACTGATCTATTGTCTTCTCTATTAAAATGTGAATTCCTTGAGATCAAGGACTGTCCAACCTTTCTATTTATATCTTCAGTACTTAAAATAATGCTTTTCACATAGTAAGAACTTAATATATGCTTAATTCATTCAAAATCAATTGGTATCTACATTGTTTTGCTACCACAAATAATGCTGCTTTAACATTTTTGGCTACATAGAAGGGTAACAAGTTTGCTCTGGCTGCCTTTCCCAGAGCCAGACCATTGCATGTACTCCTTAATGTTTAAGTTTTCCAGAGGGGTCAGGAGCCTCTCTTCTTCTGCCATCAGTTCTAGGTATCACTGTGTCCACTTTCTCCTCCATTGTTGGTGGACAGTTGCTAGCTCTCCAGCTCCATGTTATCCCTTACAATCAATTAGATTTTATAAAGAATATTTAGAAAGAATATATGTTAAAACTTCCAGTTCTTCAGGCCATGCTCTCCTCTATACCATCTTGGTTTCTGTGAGGGGAGTAGGTTCAACTTCGTTCAATTCCTATATAGCATTGGTCCCATTGAATTCTTTTTCATATGGGCTCTACTGTTTGATAAGCGCTTCTCCATGGGTTAGAAAAATTACTCCCAATGGTTTCTTCTTGTTTTTCCAGGTTTTCCTTCTGAGACGGCTGCAAAACCTGGTCTGGACTAATGGACTGCCAGTCTCTTGGATTTTCTCTCCTGACCTTTGGATACTCAGAAGTTTGGAGTATCTAAGTTAATTTCCTTCACTTAAAACAAAAGAATATACACTGGAGCAAAAGGAACTGAGTTCTGTAGCCACATAACCCCAGAGGACAGAAAAGAGGGTTTCAAAGTCTCTCTCCCTGCAGCATTATCTCCAATTGGATACCTATACAAAAAAGTCCAACAGATCTACCAAGAGTATTTTCAAAAAACATGAATGACCAAAGGCCAACTTCAAGGTTCTCAGGCCTTTTTGAAAGCCTCTTCAACCAATCAGAAAAGCTCCTCATCACCATATAGTCAGCCAACCAGAACCAATTACAGAATATCTCCATAATTTCTTCAAGGAACTTTCTTTACAAGGCTTCACATTTCCCCCAAAAGCAGACTCTCAGACCCTTCATATGAAGAGATGACATCTGAGGCAGATTACTTTATGAATCAGTCCTCATTATAGAATTTTTTTCTATCTTTGGCTAGGAATCTATTTTCATAATAACTATTTAATGGAAAGAAAATACATGGACAACAAATATTCATAACATTGAGGACAAATATTCAGTCTTTACAAAATCTCTTTCCTCCTTGTCTCCCTTTTCCATAGCCTTCTTAACAACCTTCTTGTTGTCACACCAGAGACCATGCCTTAAAGCAACTGCCATTCTGGGGATCCACATTCTAGATTTGTGATAGTCTCAGTGACATCACTATTTCTAGAACTTCTTCCATTCTCCTCTCCTCAAATCAACTTTGTTATTGTTCTTGAATACAGTATTCAATTTATTGCCCTTTGACCTCACTAACAAGCCCTGTACCTCCCTGGACCAAAATACATCTCCCTTGCCATTACTCACCTAAGAGGATGCCTCACCCTTTAGAATGTAAGATCCTTGAAGTAAGGGACCATCTTTATTTTTGTTTTTATATTTCTTGCAAATAGATCAGTATTTGGTGCAACGTAAGTGACCTGCACACAATCACAAAGCTAATAAGTATTGTTGGTGATTTTTGAAGCTAACATCTTCCTCCAATCTCTCTCTCTCTCTCTCTCTCTCTCTCTCTCTCTCTCTCTCTCTCTCTGTGTCTTTCTCTGTCTCTGTCTGTCTGTCTCTCTCTGTCTTTCTTTGTCTCTGTCTGTCTGTCTCTCTCTGTCTTTCTCTGTCTCTGTCTGTCTGTCTCTGTCTGTCTCTGTCTCTGTCTCTCTCTCTGTCTCTCTGTCTCTCTCTCTCTCTCTCTCTCTCTCTCTCTGTCTTTCTCTGTCTCTGTCTGTCTGTCTGTGTCTGTCTTTCTCTGTCTCTGTCTGTCTGTCTCTGTCTCTGTCTCTCTCTCTCTCTGTCTGTCTTCCTCTCCCCAAGCAATATGTTCCCTGTACCTGTTGAAAACCTGTTAATGTTCATACCTGCCACTCCTCCTCCTAATTTTATATACTTATTTTTTGTTTTGAGTTGTATTTCAGAAGCATTCACGTAAGACAATTAACTTCATGCTTTTTTCCTGCTGATAGAATCACTACTAATAACTGTTTGCATAATATATTTACTTAATATCTTTTCAGGATAGTTAGTCAAGAGAAGACAATGCTTAAAACTGAGCACCGGGCCTAAACTGAAGTGCCTTGAGGAGTAGGTGAAAGATGCTACAACAAAGAACATCCCTTATAATCATTTAAATTGAACTTGGTAAGTGTATTAACAGTGTATTTCAAAATTATGTTGGTAAGAACAAGATTTAAGCTTAATAAATGTTTGTTCTTATTCAGAGCATGTCTGTAACTCCAGAGATGATTTTTGAGTCTATGTACCAGGCATTTATCTTTATTACATTTTATCTAATTATGGCCTAATCATTATAATCTTCTTTAGGTCATTTTGAATCCTGATTTGGAAATTCAGCATTTTAGCTATTCCTTGCAGTTTTTTGCATCTGTAGATTCAATAAATTTCCTTGTTTGTGAAAATAGATTCTGAGTTCTGGATAAAAATAATGAACATGAAAGGTCTGGACATAAAAGTCTATTTAACATCAGGGGACTCCTTTCTTCAACATGACATTGTTGTGTTAATCAACATATTTTGGGAAAGACTGCGCAAGAAGCAACATACAAAACTGACTAAGCAAGATGGCAGATTAGAGACAGCAGCCCAGGTGAACTCTCTCAACATTCTCCCCTAAATCAAATTTGGAGTGGCAGAGCCAACCAATGTTCATAGTTAGATCTTTTTTTCAGCCTAACAAAACTTAGGGTGTCCACAGGAGAGGTGTGTGAAACCAGGGCTAACACCGCAGCTTGAGGAGCTCTCAGCCCAGAAATGGTAAGGAAGTTGGACAGTTGGTCAGAGATTACAGGGAACCCTTTGCTAGCACTGGGTGCAGCTGGCATTGAGTGACAACTCTATTGCACATACACAGTTTGGAGTCACAAAACCAGGGCAGAAAGGAGTGTTTGTAGTCAGTCAAAAGGGAGCAGGGGCCCTAGTCACAGTTCCAGTACCAAAAAGGAGCACCAGCACTTTCAGGGGCGGGGGAACAAGGGATCTAGTCACAGTTAGAGGTCCAAGAGGAGGGCTAGTGCTAGAGGGGAACAAGGGCCCTTTTTAGGTAAAGGCCAGAACAAAGACTAGGAAAGTAGTGACCACACCTCTCCCCAAATCATACCACTTTGAAAGCACTGAAAACTTACAGATCTCAAGAACCAGCTGTGAAAAGGTAAGTATGAAAAAGCCTGAAGCGTGGAATAGTGCTTCCACAACACCAGGTACAGGCTTATGTGACATCCCTAACATTCCAAGTGACAGGGGAGGTGCTATGTTAGTATAGTCCACATCTAGCTCATATCCTGTTTTCTATAATCCTACAGAAATTAGTTTTCTACATTGTTAATTAGCTAACAATGAGAGATTGAGAGTCTTTCACTGTACATATGGATAAAGTTAGTTTGCCATGACTTTTTCTTAGAAATCTGGCATTGTCTCATAGTGATCTCCAAGTCTTTTTATATACTCTCTTAAGCCATTTACTTAATATTGCATTCAAAATTTGGACAGAGATCAGTGTCAAACTTGCCTGGTTTTAACTTCTGAGATCTACCATTTCATATTTGTTGAAAATGGGAATGTGATTATTTGCAATTTTTCTGTACCTTTCTCATTCTCCAAAATTTTTGAGGAGGACCATTTCTCATGACCCTGCACCAGTTACTCACTCTTACAATCAATGCTATTTCAGATTACTGGATAGGGCTTGGTAACTCTCATTCAATTTTTATCTAGGAATGATATGAAATATGATTTAGAATTATTGGAAAATTATAATAAAACCACTTGTTCCTTCCCCATACCACCTCTGGGAAATGTTCTAAATCATTTCAACCCTCTATATTTATGCAATATAGACTTTCATTATTGTGCCGTTTATTGAACAGGAATTCTTCATAGATTTCTTAGCTCAATCATCTCCCAAAATTCCTTGTTCATATAGCTTTCCTTCTTGGGGTATTAGAGGGAGCATTCACATCCATCTCCTTCACCACAGTTATGGGAAACATTAGTGAAAGGTAGATTGCATGTTCTGGTCCCCCTAGGGTCAAATTTACAAGCCAGAAGGAAAAGGAAGGTTGATGGTCTTCCTGCTTTCTCACTAATCAAGGAAGCTTCCAAAAACTGCCTTGTCTGGAGTTGATCCAGCTTTGTCCTGTACTTAACTCTTATGTACTGGCTCTCAGGGCATCTCCCATCTCCTATTCTATCTTTTTCTTCATGGTTTCTATGAATCACCTCCTGTATGGTAGCCCACAGAAATCTCCTTCTTTTTGATTCTGGCACAGAAAAGAATGAAAGAAGACAATCATTAGCATAGTCTGGTATCACATATACTGGGCAGAAATCTGATCACCCTATTTGGCCCAAATCCTGGCATCCACACATCTGGATGACCTCCTTGGGAGAATTAAGAGGCATTCTTGAGATTCCTATAACTGTGAAAAAAGTCACCTGATGTTGATCAGAAACTCTCTCTCTCCCTTTCATCCAAAAGCCCTAGAGAAGATGGCATTCCAAGACAGCTAAAGATACCTGCAGTGGATGTTCTGGTGTTGGCATGGGTTACACTAAATATATATAGATTTTGATGTAGTAGTACCATTTCTACCTATATTTATTTAACAATTCTGACAAAAAGTAAACACAGAATCTAGAATGTAGATGCTTTTCAAAATCTTATTCTACTCCATCCTCACTTTACCAAATTTTTTTGTGAACTTTTATTTTCAGAACTTGGTATCTAGTTTATATAACCCTACTTCCACAAAATCCAAGATAGTGGTTGACCCTTATGTACTAACTTTATATATTCTAATTTACTTGATGGGTTTTTTTTCTTTCAAAATCTGTCTACAAAGTAAGGCAGAAGGTTCCAGCAATTTTGTTTTGTACTCTAACCAATCTCTTTAAGGGAAGGTATTTTAAAGTACTCTTTTTCTCTCCTTTCTTAAACACAACATACTTTGAGCAGAGCATGCCAAAAAACACTTTTCTAATAGAGAAACAGATGCCTCAAAATAGTCACCAAACTGACTAGTATAGAAGCTCATTTTGATCCTGGAACTGAAGAATAAGGTAAGAAGTGTTGCATAGTGGCTAGAATACTGGGCTTTTGGTCAAGGAGACCTGGGTTTCAAATATTTCCCTTGACTCATGGCCCTGGACAATTGACTTAACCTCTAAATGCCTCCAGAAATTCCATATTATTTATCTCCTAAATCACACACCTGATCTACCTTAACAGAAGTAATTTACAAATTGGGAATCACTGCCCTCTGCACATTTTTCCCCTTCCCCCTCCTTAAAGAAGAAATCATAGCTCTATTGTGTATTGGCTTTGAGAAACAATGTTGGGGTGCCAGCTAGAGTCTTGTTATTAAATCACTATACTCTGAAACACAATCCAATTCCAATTCAGTAGTTAATGAGGTCCTTTATAATAATGTATAAGTATGTATGTATATATAAATATACTATTCATTAATGAAAAGATTTTAAAAAAGGACAAATTCCTCATACTTTACAGTGGCCTTCTGACAGTTTATAGTGCTAGAAGTATAAATCGTTAAAATTGATTGATGGAGCTTATGTTAAAACTCCCATCATTTCTTATATTTAACTGTACTTCAAATAAAGAAATCAATTCAATTCAGAAGAAATTTCTTGAATAGCTTTATTTGAGCTATTTTGTGAATTTTTATAAAACGCATACACACACACACACACCTTAAAATGTGTAAATTCTCTGTTGCTGTAGAATGAACCATATTGCTAGGATACATTTTATAATCTTGCATAATGAATATGTGTATAAAATGTATTAATGTACTATATCTCACTGCATACATGCAGATATGCACATATGCACATTTATGCTCAAACAGATATATACTAGGCACTTTTATTAAGAATTTGGTATTTGTTTTGTAAATATTTGCTCAATTTAATTGAATTTTACCCATTCAGTACTTACCAGTATGCATACCAGCAAAGTTTTCAAAGGTTCTTAACTGCCAGTAGATTTGTTGTTTCAATAGTGAGACTAAAGAGGACACATTCACCAAGCATTCCCTATACCTATCTCCAAAATTATTTTATTAGTGAGTAGGATCAAAGCAGGAGTCATTTCAAGTTCAGCCATTTCATTTTTTTTGGTTGTTTTATGTTTAAAGTTTAGGCCGGTTTCCCATTTCACATAACATAATGTGATTAGCCATTATGAACTAATACGGATTTTCTCTTTCTTAGCTCCAAAGGTAATCGAAAATATATTATTTTATAATTTTAAAAACTGCTGATATGTGTTTTTTTTTAATATTAGAGTTATGATAACCATCCTTTATGGGGAAAATACTCCACATATATTGTTATCAACATAACAATCTTGTTTTTTGGAGGTGAGGGGAGGACAGGATAATGGGGTAATTTTTAAGCCAAATCTATGATTTCATCATTGTGGAATAACTTCCAGTGTGGAAACAACCTCTGACACTAGGACACTGAGAAATCAGTTTAATTGCCCAGGGTCACACACATAGCATGTATTAGAGGAAAAACTTGAACTCAGGACTCATTTATGTCAAACCAAGCCTTCTATTCACAATATCATCTTCTAGCATATGTGGATTATTAACAACAATAGTAACAAATTACATTTGCATAGTACTTCAAATCTTGTAAAATAGTTTACAAATATTGCCATTGGTTAACCATTTATTAAATGCCTATTACATGCCTTGTTATTGCTGCTGAACTCTTTGTGACCCCATTTTTCTCCAGCTCATTTTATACATGAAAAACTGAGGCTAAAAGGGTTGAATGACTTGCCCAGGGTCACATAATTACTAAGTATCAGACAACAGATTTGAACTCAGGAAGATGAGTCTTCCTGACTCTAGGCCTGGTGCTCCATCTACTGTCACACCCAGCTGTCGCTGCTATAAACTAGGCAGGGATAAAATGATTTAAAAAAGACAGAAGGAAGAAAATTGCCCATGAACCACTTTTTTTTGCTATTTGCCACGGGCTATTTCTTAGGACCTGTGGTTACAGAGATATAAATATGTACACAATGTTCTTTTGTCCCCCCTTATGCTCCTACTACATAGTATTTGAGACATTTTCCATAGTTCTCACCATTT